GACGCCGTGCATTAGCACACAGACACCAATCATTAGTGCTGCCATGACGTCCACCACCCTGCAGCTAGTGATCTTGACCATGCACAAGTGTGCGGTTTTCAGCGTGCATTTCCAAGGCCGCAGGAGGGTGTAACGGCCGCGCCGCAATGCTGGCTGGCAACTACGCCGCCGTCGGCCGGCATCCCGCCCACTTGCGGCGGCGGCGTGCGGCGAGCCGCGTCGCCGTGGTCTGACCCGCGCCCGCCGCCTTCCAGCGCCGGCCGGCACGTACCCGCGCGGCATCCGCGATGTGTTCGTCGAGATGATGCGCAGCGAGGGGCCGCGCGCCCTCTTCCGCGGCCTGGCGCCCGTCATGATCCGCGCCTTCCCCGCCAACGCCGCCTGCTTCCTCGGCTACGAGGTGGCGCTCAAGGGCCTCAACAAAGTGGCGCCTGGCCTCTGAGGCCGCCGCGCCCCAGCCCGACCGGCACCGTGGGCACCCGGCGCCCCTTCCGTCACCGGCTGGCGGTCGGGGGCTGGCGCTGTCGGAGCCCCGTGCGGGTGGTCGGGGGTTTAGTGCCGCCGCGGAGATCGCCGCCCGTTCCTGCTGAGAAGTGAGGACACGGCGGCTCGGCTAGCGTATCTGTATAGGGTTGGGGGTGTGTGTTCGGACGTTTCTGGTGGGGGATTCGAGTTGGAGAGTGGCTGTGCACTGGCAGAGGTCGGCCCCGAGGTGGCATACGCCATGTGGTGAGCAGCAGGAAGAGGAGCAGAAGTCTGTCAGCCACCAGAGGGTTCAAGACCGGTGTGAATAGGATGCGCTCGTCGTTGCGCCATGGTGTGTACTACGATATGTGTATTTAGTTTCCCGCCCATCCAACCCGCAATTTAGCCCTGTTGTTAGCGTACAGACTTACACTCAAGACTCTGTAAGATCTCTCGAGACCTTGCGTCAAACGCGGGTCGTGCATTCTTGTACCACGTTTACGCTGGGCTTATAATCGGGTATTTTCAATGCATGCTACAGGGTTTACACTAGGCATCATGTAGTCCACTTGAGATGTCCGGGTGGTGGAATGTTTACCCCGCCATTATCCCGCAGCTGTGTGGAGTGAGCCTGGTGGAGGATCATTGTTGATCATCCCGGTAGCTGGTCGCTAGGCGACAGTGGGCCCCACCAACGTGAGCTTGTTGAAATGACTGCTGTGTTATTCCGGTACATATCTGGGTGAGGGCCATGTACAAGTTTCTTCTAATGTTAATCCGTGGATGGCAAATGGATTGCAGCCTGACCCGGCTTGGTGCGGGCTAGGGCGCGGTAATGGGGTGGACAGGGGGTGGTTGCTCCTTCCTAAACAGGAAAAGTAACAGCAGGCGCATGGTCATGCGAATGAGGACTGAAATAATTACCTCCTCCCCCCCCCCCCCCCCCGCTCAATGCTGGACCGGTTCTGCTCTAATGCCCGTGGAGGAGGGATGTTGATTCGGTGATGGGTGCGCTGGGGAAGACCGGGGGTAAACTTGTGAGCCCCTGGCAGTCCGGCATGGTGGTGCGCTCTGTGAGACGGCACCCGAGACGCCCGAACCCACGTCCGTGCCCGTCACTGCTAGCATCGCCCCGTGCTTCAGCATCACCCCGCCTCTGCATCCGCCGCTGCACCCCAGTCGTCCCGCACCCTGCCCCGCCCGGCGCCTCCCCTCACTCGTCGAAGATCGGGCCACGCGCACGTCCGTGTCCCGCCACAGCACTCGTCGCACCACCGCCTTAGTGAAGAGCACCTCTGGTTGTCGTTTTGCCGCGTGCCCAGTCGGTGCGCCGGGCCGGTACCGGCGCGCCCAGCCGCGCGCGGCCGGATATTGGCCGGTAGCTGTACTTTGTGCACGGAAGGACAGGCGGTCGCGTGGCGTCCGGTCGACGCGAGCTGCGCCGCAGGGAGTCCCGGTGCCGCGTCCACTTGTTTCGATGTGCAGTATCCGTGGAATATTCATGGTACAAGCAGGAACGCTCGGTTGCATGCTGTCCGGTTGTTCAGAGCATGAATGTTGCAATAGGTGCGCGCTGTGCTGAGCAGTTTAAACGTGCAGACAGTACCCACCGTCGTCTCGATGTGACGCAATTGACGCAGATTTGAGGGGCGTTGTGAAAATCGTTTGCGACGTGCACCAGGGCTTTCGACATGAGCTCATGTAATAGGTCGGGACCTGCCGGATAAGGGGTGGCGGCCTTCGTGGAAGCGTAGTATGCCATACCACCAACATGCACGGCGCAGCGTTGATGCCTGACGAGAGACAGAGCGGTGACCGTGGCTAGGCCCTGCCAGAAGGCAGCCCACTGCGGCATGACAGCGCGTGGCCGTCCCGAGCACCCAACAGCGGGAAGTGAGCGTCAGCTCCCAGACAGACCGCCGGCGCGTTTGTGTGTGTGCGCGGATGGTGCCAACTGCCCCGGTCGGCGCCGTCACGCGCCGTCGCCGCTGCCAGCTGCTGGGTCTGCAACGTGTCCTGTGTTGGCGTGTTTTGAATATAGACTTATCTCTTACGGCTCCAACTTTCGTGTTGCGTAACGTTGACACCTCGGGCGAACACTAAGCAAGTAATTGTTGTAATGAAATGGGTTGCGATCACGTTGGTCGTGAATGATTCCCGGTGGGAACGAGGACGCTGCCATGTCAACACACTGCGTGGTCGCCATTAGCAAACGCCTCTCTGTGCGTAAAGCGTCTTTTCCATGCCTTTCTTTGTGCGTGACGCTTCTTTGCAACGCTTTTCTTTGTGCGTAACGGTTCTTTTCAACGCGCACCATGCCTAAGGGTAATTTGGCAGTTGACAGCGTTCGAAAACATGCGATGCGGGACGTGGGTGAGCAGTGTGGGTTCGGTCCATTTGTCTCAGCATGGCCGGGCGTCCTCGAAAAGCCCAGTGCGGAGTGCAATGTCCACGCACAGGCCGGGAACGCGAGCGATCTTTTGGGCGCAGCGCGTTTCGACGTGATTATCCTGGGTAATGAGTGCACGTTACTGCGGAAGTGCCGGGTCGTTCCGAGCCGTGGCCTCCATCTTCCTTTCTAGATCAGAGTATGTGAATGTCGCCATCGTGTGATGCCCCGCAGTTTGCGCAACGGATGGAACGTATGCCACTGCCACGCTGGTCAAATATACAGAGCCGGTTTTCTCTCATCCTTTTTGCTATGCATGAAACGCTGCCGGAGTTTTTGCGCGGAGCGTTTTTAAGGCTGCGCGCAGAGAGCCATCGGCTTGATCCGCGTCGCTAAGTCAGTGGTATGCAGGGTACGACCTACTGCACTGTGCACTTGCAGAGGAAGCGAGAGCGGCCGTCACGCTGCCTGGGTTACGTCTGGCTAGGACGCCACGACAATAGGGTGTGTGGCGGCGATTAGGCGTCCGGCGGCACTTCCGGCGGAAGCGCTAGCCATAGCGCTATCTCGGCTCGCTCCGTCGGTCGCTTTAATTGTGCTTTTTGTCGACACGGCGCAAGCGGCTCTGGGGTCTTGCGGTGTCGTTCAGAAACGACAATGAGGGGACGCAATGGCGATAGGGTTGTCTCGACACTTTGGGCAACACCTGATTGTACCAGCTTTCGACGGAGGGTCATTAAATGCTGCGCTATGCCGTGTGCTCCGCCGTCCCTGTTGGTGTAGTGACAGGTTTCTCCTGTCCGCACGGAGGCCCTCAAAGAGCGATCAATAGATGCCACTTCATCCTCCCAAGGCGTCACACCTTCGCCAACAGCACATCAGGCGAGATCGAAGTCTTCACCTTGTGAATCACCATGTCAACCTAACAGACGAATGCCTACTGGCGTGTCTGTCGGACACAAGCAGGGAGGAATTGAGGCTGTCGGTCTGCACAAACAGAAACAACCCATAAACCATCAGCCTCATGCTAATCCCAGACGTAGTGAAGCAGCTCGCACCCACACTGTAGCAGGAGACCCGCTGCGAGCGAGGGCCAGGCCAAGGCCTGAACACGCTGCGGTGTGCGGCACTGCACTGGCAACGCGCGCGCTTCGGCGAAAGGTCAGCTGCGGTGAGGCCAGGCGCGGCGGCGGTCGGCGGGCGTCGCCGCGGGGTCGCCGATAAGATTACGACCGGTTAATGCCCCTCCCCTCTGTGACGTCAGCGCTGGCAACTATTCCCACCGCTGCAGGACGATTGCAGTGCTCTGCGAGCGGCCTCACGGCATGGCGGCCGGGCGGCCAGTGCTGCCGCGGCGGCGCACGTGCAGGGATCGATCGTCGGCGCGTCGTAGGGCGCGCACACTCCCCTCCGGCCGTCGGCTGATAGTGGCATGCCCAGCCCGTGCGGAGCGGACGGGCCAGTGAGTTGAGCACGCGCGAAGCGGACGGACCTGCGAGTTTTAAGCCCGTGCGGGGCGGACGGACCTGTGAGGTGAGCCCGTGTGGAGTGAACGGGTCTGTGAGGTGAGCCTGCGCAGAGTGGACGGACCTGTGAGATGAGCCCGTGCGAAGCGGACGGACCTGTGAGATGAGCCTGCGCGGGCCGGGTGGACCTGTGAGGTGTGAGATAAGCTCCAGCAGCCGGAGCGCTCAAAAGCGGACGCTGCGAGGTGCTGGAGAGATACGAGGGGCTCAGAAAAACAGTTACAGCTGAAAAGCTCAGAAAGATTGCATGAGTTTCGGAGAGCCGGTAAGTAGGACGCTTTCAAGACGATGTGAGCTGAAGAGTAGACGCCCGAAGGCTTATAGAACGCTGCTGAGCGGAGTCCTGCGGGCTAGATCGCCAGAGACTCTCCGTCCACCCGCGCCATGGTCGCGACGTCAGCGTGGCTGGCGTGGAGGGCAGCACTGGCTCGAACCATGGCCGCCGTCCGCGAGGCGGCCGCCTCCAGCGTGGGTCGGCACGGACACGAGGTGGCCGCCGTACTGGCCGCTGCCTGCGCCTGCAGCCTTGCCTGCCGCCTGCTGCCGCCCCGCGCCGCCCGCCGGGCCCGCGCCGCGCTCGCCCCGGCCGTGCTGCTGCTCCTCTTCAGAGGCCAATGGGCGGCACCGGCGCGATTGCTGCTCGCCAACCTGGCGATCGTGCTGGCGAGCCGCCGTCTGAGGAGCGTCCCCTGGACGGCGCTCAGCGTGCTTCTGTCCTACTACGAGTGCTGGTGGGTGTGCGCGCGCGCACCGCTGCTCCTCGCGCTCGTGTTCGTGGCGCTGGCGATGCGCGTGGTCGAGGTGGGTGTCGACCTGCGACGGCCGGCCGTCACGCTGTGTCCCAGCAGGCTGGGCGCCACTCGTCGCTCCGAGCTCCGCTCGGTGTGGTGGTTAGTCCGCTTGCTGACGAGCCCCAGGGAGGACGCGGATCAGCCTGGTGACGGGGTCCCGGCGGGCTCCAGCGCGGCGGACGAGCGAGCCGCGGCCCACACCCGCCCCGTCTGGTCCGTCTGTCTGCTGCTGGCGGCGGTGCCGGCGCTGCTGCTGCTCCACACGGCCTGCGAGTGCTTGTTCCCGTGGGACGGCCTGGTGTTTCACTCGCGGTCCAGCACGATGCAGGCGGTGCACCTGATGGCCATGTGGACGGGCTTCAAAGCTCTCTGGCTCTGCCCACTCATTGTCACCTTGGTGGCAGCCGAAGTGATCTTAAGGTGAGCAAAGTCCAGTGTTTGTGTTGCTTCTTTCGAGCATGTCTAGCACCAAGGGATTCGTGCGGGAATGCAGCGCATCAACGCGTCAGTTTCGGGTCTGGAACAGAGTGCGAATCAGTACCTACGCTTGCACCGGTTTCGCTTACCGCGGGCGAGGCATAACGATATCCACCTAGCATCTACCACCTCACAGTTCAGCCAGGGACACGACCAGTCGTATTGAGGGATTCACAGAGCTTAATGGCCCGAAATGAAAATTCTGTAAATCATCGGATTTCGCACAGTTCATTCATACCACGTTCTTCTTTTCTTCCTTTTCTTTTGTCGTTTCTGTATTGATCCAGTCACGACGCCGGGCGCGTTCACTGAGATGCCCCGTGGACTGAACGCTTAGATCGTTCCCTACCTGGCCCAGATGTGGGGCCTGAGGATAGAAAACTGGAGATCCACTGCCGTTTCTGATCAGGGTTTGATGAGGTAGCTTTCTGTCCAAGCCCCGGGAGGGGATGGAAAGCTCCCCGACTTACCCACTATCAGTCTGGATATGCGGATCCTGGTCGATCCGAAGGCCCTCGGAGAGATACGTCATACATTAGTCCTCCACTAACGCGGAGGTTCTGTAATTGGAGTTGTCAATGCATCGACACAGGGCGGCACAGGGTGTCCATTGTTTAGCACCGGGATCCCAGTCCGGCTTTCCGGGCTCCTGCACCGAAACGGGGTGGAGAGCCCCCGTTTGCTACTGGGTCCGCCTTTCTGACGTGGGGTCCTCCATTATTTTATTGAGGACCGTTTCATTGGCAAGGAAATGAGATGTGATAAATGACAGAGGGCCCGACCCATGCAACGGACCCATTCTGACTTTTCGGCCTTTGGTACGTTGGTCGGGGTCTTCTGACATTCAGAGTTCCGTCCCTACCTCTGTTGAGACAGTGGGCACCAGTCTGTCACAGGGGCCACACCATTGTCTCCCAGTGTCCTCAATCAATGCAAGGGGCTTTCTGACTTTTGGCGTGAAAAGCTGAAGAGGTTCTTCGACTGACATTCGCATACCCCTGTCTTATTTCTGCTGGGAATGGGCTCCCAGGCCGACACGTGGCCGACTTTTAGGTACTTGTGGTCTCCTGGGTGCCACAGGGGCCCCACTGCCCTAGGATTCCTGGTCGGTGCAAGATGCACTCTGATTTATAATGAATGGCCCGGACCACAGGGCTGGAGTCACTTAGCGCAGCCTGCGGCCCTTTGCGACGTTAGGGGGTTTCAATTGGGCCATGGATAACCAGCTTCAAAGGACCCTCAGTCTCAAAGGGCACGTGCCTGTCGTGCCCCCGTGCCTGCGTTCCTAAGCTGAGCCTTTACGGTACCTGGCCTGCCTATGATCAGTGACCGTTCCTGTAAGTCCACTGACGACCGTGTTCCTCAGGGACGGCGCGCCCCACGTGGCCTGGCGGAAGGTTGCGCTGGCCGGCAGCGTCACCTCCTCGGCCGCCGCGCTGACCGCCCCGGTCGCTGGCTGGCTGCAGCGCGTGGTAGGCCGCCGCTGCGCACCTCTCGCCGGCGCCCTGCTGGCGCTGGGTCTGGCGACGGCCGTCGGACCCCAGCCTGCCCTCTGGGTGGCGCTGGTGGCGCTCTGGTGCCGGCTGGAGCGGTGCTGCCACCTGCCGGCCGCTGTCACGTACCTGTTCGGCCAGCTGCAGTTGGCCGCGTGCGGCGTGCTGCTGCAGCCGCAGCTGGCCGAGCCGCGGAACGTGTACAGCATCATGGAGGAGCTGCGATTCGTGCCGCTGCTGCTGCCGACGCTCGGCGTGCTGACCTCTGCGCTGAACGCGGTCGCGAGCGATCTCACCTCCCCGAAGGTCCGAGGCCCCGCTGTGAGGGTGGCAGGAACCGCGGCTACGACATGAGCGTGCTTTCATGCCACAGCCGGTCTGATGTCTCTGATGTTCATGCATGTGTGCTCTGTACGTTCTAGATGTCAAACTGCGTCCGCCTCGCAGCGCAAGATGGGAGAAACGAAGCTATAAATGTAGCACGTGTCACGGAAGTGGAAACGCAGTTCATGGAACTGTACATAGCCTTGCTACTATCAGATGTGAATTTTCCCAAGTAAAAGTGCAATGTGCATGATGCCATGACGCGTCCAGGTTCACAAATACATCCACTTCCAAAAGCACCACAAGATTGTATTTGCACAATGGTCCACGCTTGGTCCTGATCTTCCCGACCGCTTCTACTCAGAGCACTGCGGTTCCTCGGCAGTGAAATTCGCGATCCCTGTGACGATCGACACGCTGGTCCAGTGCTTCCGCGCTGTGAAACCTGGACTCCCGCAACTAAGTGCACTAGTGATACTCCCCTGATGAGCCACCAGATTCGGTTTTCAGCTCGCCCCGTCGTAAGTATGAAAAACCTTTACAGCTAAAGGCGATACGCGGCTCACCCCGCTTACTAGCAGACAGGATTAGTCGGCGGCAGTAAAGGCAGAACGTATCACAGTGCACCTCATCTCAGCAGACAAAATATTGTTTAAAAACAGTTTGCACATCATGGCACAAACATTAAGTACCGACGCGGTCGCATCATCCAATTAGATTTAAAAGGCATCTGCACCTTTCATCTGGCTACACCGCGCTCAAACCATGGGCGAAATCGCCCCCACTTGCGCATGCACCGATGAAACTTTTGTGATCACTTCGACGCATGCACATTCTCTAAAACGACAAACTGACACCTGTACCGATTCCCACGTCTCAAAACGAACACCGATTTGGCACAGGAGCAAAGGACTCGTTACGCAATCGCCATGTCTTCCAAGTCCTCGCGGCACATTATCACAAATTTGTACTGAGCACAAACACACAAATGGCACTTAATAGATTGCGTCCGAGTCCAGGTCCACGCGCAGCTCGTCGGGGCTGACCAGATCGTACCGGTTTCCACCGCTGCGTCGGATGCTGGCCGGGTTTGTCTTTATCGTCATGGAAGGCGGCAGCGTGCCCTTGACCGAGCCGTCTAGCCGGCTGAGGTTCTTCATTTCGGCCAGTTCACTGACACCGCGCACACCACCCATCGGCACGTACGTGTTGGCCGCCGCCAGCTTCGGCGTATCGTACAGCTTGGCCGTCTGGTCGCGCGCTCGGCGCCACCTGGCGATGAAGCAGAAGTACGTGGCGACTGCCGCCAGGAGCGCACCGGCCACGAAGCTGAGCACGCAGCCGAGTGCGAGCATGCCCGCCCCGATGCCGGAGCTTGGGCCAGGCCCGCCGGATGACGCCAGCTGCAGCAGCTCTGGGGGAGGGGGCAGGGTGTAAACAGCACCGCCACATGGGGGTATTCGGTGTGTGAGCTACCACGCGCGTTTGTTCAGAGTTGCCAGGTGCCATACGCGCTCATTGAAAGGTGTGAGGTACATCCGTCGCGCGGGTGAAGTACTCACTTGTGTGACACGACGATTGGGGTCATATTGCCACTGAACAGGCACGTCTTTTGACACAAGTTGGCTACACGACGCGTGTTAGCTGGTTAGTAAGCACGGATGGTGTCCAGTGCAACTCACCGCCGTTTGCATGCACACATATCCTCGTCTCTCTGTCGTGGCCTTGGCAGAGGCTAGGGTCTCGCTCAGACTTCTTGCAGCGGCGTTTGCGGTGCTGCTCGTTATTCTCGTCACAAAGACTCCAAACGGTCCTGAAAGCGTAAAGATGCATGAGTCGATGGCAGTTAGACACTGGCTACCAGTATACATCATAGGCATATAGCTCGCGTGTTTCATACAGTTTCCTTTAAAAATCTTCCCCCGAACGGATCAAAGACAAAGCGCATGTCTTGATGACTTCCACAGGGCACAGCGTCGCCGCTGCTGTTCAACTTCGCTACGCTTGCACATGGTTTAAACTACAGGTCTCATAGATTGAAGGAAAGTGTGTCCTCAAGCCCCGCAAATAGGGTGTCTTGGGACGTTATCTAAATGATTTTTCTACATAGTCAATAAAAGCTGCAAACTAGTTACTTCGGCTGCAATCCCAATCATGTACTAGTGACAGCAATAAAAATAGCAGTAATATAACTTGCATGGCTTCCATGACCATAACAGCCATGTTCCCTGCACCAGTAACATCCATCGCGCCTGTAATTTTGCTTGGAGCGTTATAGTGACATTGAAGCATTCCACAAAACCAAACCAAGTCCAGTCCCGTCGTACCAATCTTCCCAGCCGGCGAGACTGGTGCAGCCGGGCAGTTGGCACGTCTCCTCATAGGTGGCGTCGCCGTCGCAGAGCGTCCCGAGCTGGCCGGGCGCGGACTGGCTGCGGCATCGCCTGGTGCGCTGACGCTGCGCCGCGCCGCAAGAGCCCGAGCAGGCCGACCACTCCGACCAGCATGTCCACTCGCCTGCGGGCGCAGCGGCGGGACACGTCAGCAGGCACGCGGACGAAAGGTCAGAGAAGCCGGGGATATCAATATCATGAACCAGCGGCGGAGAAATGAGAAGGGGCAGGTCTAAAATAGGGACAAATGGGAAGTCAGTGATCAGTTTTTTTTTTCTCAGCGGCGAAGTGATTTTGCGTTTCATTAATTGAATTCATGTACGCACCGTTTCTCGCGGAGCACAGTGCTGAGCTCACAGTTGAATGATAAGGCACTGTACCCGCTGTAAAGACCCAATATCGCTCACTCGGTGTGGCTCGCTGGCATCATCCAAGTGACGTTATGTTACACAACGAGAAGTGATTTGTTTCAAAAGGTTTATCTGCGCCGACCGATGCTTCTCGGCAGTTGCCACAACTCACCGGCACACGAGTGGGCATTGCACTGCCGCTCCTCGCTCTGTCGGCCCTGGCAGACGGCATGGTCTTCCTCGCAGAGCCGTGACCTGGACTGGACGCCGCCTCCGCACAGCGCCGAGCAGTCGGACCAGTCGCTCCAATCGCCCCAGCCCAGGTCTTCCCAGTTGTCTGAAACCGACAGCCGCTTGTCAGAAGGAGATGATGCAACGCTACCATGCTCAAATAAATGCAATGGATCGCACACCGACGTTGTTGCACTTCTGCAAAATGCTCCGTCGGATTCTGACCAAATGTCCTTATTCCACGTAGCGACATGAATGCTCAAAATACAGCAATGAGCACCACATAAACCACAGCAAAAACCCGTGCAACGGCGGTGACTTCATGGAGCCCGGCCCACCGGTACTTTAAGCCCGCCCACATCTGGCGTGCCGAGCCTTCGGTCCTGACGCGTCGGGTCCACGGGCTCACCGACATCTCAGCTGTCGATCATCCGATCGGCCGTATCGGTCCGATGTCGTCAGCCGGCGCCGCGTCCCCGCACCGGCGGCGCGCTGACTCACCGGGCGAGCAGAGGCCGTCCGCCGAGCAGAAGCGCTCGTCTGTCTTGGCGGCGCCTGGCCGGATGAGCCCCGCGTCCGGCACGGGCGCGCGGCAGGCGAAGCGGAACCGCTGCTGGTGGCGGCCGTCGCCGCCGGCGGCCGCCAGCCACGGCGTCCAGTCGGTGAGGCGGCGCAGCGTCGGGCACGGCTCGGTGCCGCACTCGGCGTACTCCAGGTCGCAGCCGAGGCACGGCCGGCCGCCGTTGACGGGGCGAGGGCTGTCGCAGACGCGCCGCCGCCGCCGGAAGCCGCCGCCGCAGCGCGCTGAGCAGCGTCCCCAGGAGCCCCAGCCGCCCCAGCCGCCGTCCAGCGGCAGGTTGGTCTTGGACGGGCAGGGCGGGTTCGAGTGGCAGAAGATGTCCTGACTTTCCTCGCCGACGCAGGGCCGGCCGCCGTGCGCCGGCGCCGGGTTGGTGCAGGAGCGGCGCCGCGACTTGCTGGCGCGGCCGCACGGATGCGAGCAGGCCGACCAGGCCGACCAGCCGGTCCAGCCGCCGTGGCGCGTGCAGTTAGCGACCTGGGCGGCGAGGCCGGTGCAGGGCGCGCCGCCATTCGCCGGTGCCGGGCTGGAGCAGGAGCGCCGGCGGCATCGGCACAGCTCGCCGCCGTCGGCCGCCGCCTGTCCGCACTCCTGCCAGTCGGTCCAGCCGCTCCAGCCGCCGTCCACGGGCCGGCTGGGGTCCGGACACTGGGTCACCAGCTGACGCCAGGAGAGCACGTCCGGGTTACGCCCGGGCGGCCGGCTGCAGACGCCGCGCGCTGCGTCCCAGCCGCAGTACGGGTCCATGGCGCCCAGGCAGCTGTCCTCGCTCTGGTACCGCTCGCAGCGCTGCACCGGCACACGCACCAGCTCCGAGTCCGTCCCCAGGTACAGAGACCCCTGCAGGGTGACAGAGGGCGGTCAGCACATGCTGCAACAGTCCGGAGTTCGTGGCCAGGTACAGAGAGCCCTGCGGGGTGACAGCGAGGGAACAGTAGATACCGCACCAGTCCAGAGTCCGTGGCCAGGTGCAGGGACCCCTGCAGGGTTGACAGGGGGCGGTCAGCACATGCTGCAACAGTCCGGAGTTCGTGGCCAGGTACAGAGAGCCCTGCGGGGTGACAGCGAGGGAACAGTAGATACCGCACCAGTCCAGAGTCCGTGGCCAGGTGCAGAGCCCTGCGAAATGACAAGAGGTGGCCAGCACATGCCAAGAACAGGCCAAAGTCTGTCATCAAGGAGTTCTGCGAGGTGACGGAAGGCGGTCAATAACTGCATACCCACAATCACACCAGTTCAGAGTACGCGTCCGGACACACGGAGCCCGCAGGGACCATGTGGAGCTGCCTAAGTCGGCCCAGCCGGCGAGGCCACCCTCAGATACAGGGAACTTTGAGTGACCCTAGAACGAGCGGTTATGGTACAACCATCAGGCATAAGTTCGTTATTCCCGGCAAGGCCACTGGGGAGCGGCAGATGTGCGGCATCTTTCCCCAGTTTCACACGAACAAAACTTCATACTTTCCCGACCATTGCATTGGAAATTCCAGTGTTTTGTGCTGCTGCTGAAGGGCGCAGAGACTGCTCTAGTTGAGCTGGCTTGATTTGCTGAGCCTATTACATAAGTGGCCAGTAATAGTATTGGAACCAGCCTGATCCAGCAGCTTACTTTTCGAATCCCTGACACGCACTACACGGGAAAGACTTTTCAAGATCGGTCCAGCCGGATCAAAACCAGGCTGGACCCCGAATATCGGCATGAACACCACCACCCGTCACCACATCAACTGAATCGGTAGGGAACACGCGCATGCGCAAATGCGGTAATACGCATGCGTACCCATAGACGCATGCGGAAAATTGGCATCACTAAACAGTGGATCAGGTCTGTTTCATAACGGCCACATAAATTCACTCCGACGGCAAAATAGTATTGTGGTCTTGTCCGTCCCGTAGCTCATTGGGATAGAGCGCCCGCTTCCCATCCTATCCGTGGTGGACTGGGCTGGGAGATGGGTTGTTAATGGGTTTGATCAATACCGAAGGGAAGTCTACTAGCAGTTACTAGGTGGATACTCACTGACGTAGGATTCCGCATTGTGACTCTAAAGTAACTTGATTAAGCAAGGCAGGCGTTGTTCCTAGGTCTCGGAAAAAAGTCTCCGGCTTGTTCGCATGATGAGATTCTACGCTAAAAACAATCCATCTTTAATATACAGAGGTACAGTTTAGGTTGCTGTGTTGAAGGTGGGCTATTTCCAGCTTGATGGGTCATACGGTTTAGAAATTGCTCACCCATTAATCTGGCCGGAACGCCAATTTCAGTAACCAAAATAAATAAATTCACACTAATTTAGGTACGGTTATCAAAAGCGGCTTGGCTATTCCAAAATACGCATGTGTTTTGGGTGGACATTGGCCACAATGAGCAGTTCTTCCTGTCTTTATTGTTTCATGGGCCAGCCTTTGGGTTCCGGCTAAAGCAGTGCAGCCGCAGGTCGGGCGGCTTTCAGATATGTTACTGAGTTGTAGCTGGCACATTTATGTAAACTGTACAGTTAGTTGCCAGCTTTCACCTACTCTAATGGCTAAGATCTAATAACCAACCTTAAAAAACCTGAACTGGGGAATTTATAACTTACGCACGAATGCGCATAACTACGCGCATTGACCCTCACTGTCGCCGTTACGATTGCCCGTTTTCTCTCCGTCAGAATCTGTCAGCCTCGCATCGCTGCGACTCGGGGTAGTCAATATCTGAACCCGGCCTCGGATCCGATCCGCCCAGATCTGAATCCGGCCTCGGATCCGATCCGCCCAGATCTGAATCCGGCCTCGGATCTGATCCGCCGAGATCTGAATCCGGCCTCGGATCTGATCCGCCGAGATCTGAATCCGGCCTCGGATCCGATCCACCCAGATCTGAACCCGGCCTCGGATCCGATCCGCACAGATCTGAATCCGGCCTCGGAGCCGATCTGTAGAGATCTGAATCGGGCCTCGAATCTGATCCGCCCAGATCTGAACCCGGCCTCGGATCCGATCCACCCAGATCTGGGCCCGGTTCTGCGGCTTTTTCGAAGGCTGAAAATTTGTATGTTCCATGCAAATCGAAGGGGAGGAGAAATTTCGGTGATATTGCAAGGCTGCAAGAAAACCCACCTGATCAAACAGGCTCTACGTCAACAACTAACAATTTTTACAATACCACGTGTAAAGGATTGCAGTTATCGTTGCTGAAGACTCTGAACTTTGTGATCGGCGGTCGCTAAGATATGCGCGTTTCAAAAGCGTGACGACAAACGGGCGGTGTGCTCAGCTGGCAGCTCTATCATAGTGACGTCACAGCCGAGCCCACGCGGCCTGCTCAAGCTGACAACTCTAACATAGTGACGTCACAGCCGGGCCCACGCGGCCAGTTCCAAGCTGACAACCTTATCATAGTCACGTGACAGCCGGGCCGGGTGGCCTGCCCAAACTGCCAATTCGATTATAGTTTGAATAAGGCCTGTCTGTCCCGCAGCTTAGCTCCTGATCAATTCAGGCAATTAATGGCCCATTTTGCGAGTAATTTTCCAACATCGCTCAATTATTTACTTCAACAGCGTATTTCGCAGCAAAAATATACTTTTGGATATCGGTGAAGCCTGTCACAAAACACCCCGTTCCGTTGGCCTGCAATCAAACGGTTCCGTTGGTTCCCTTTGTCCCGTTGGTCTGCAACGTCTGGTTCCATCTGCAAGTAACCGTACTCAGCCTCTGATGATTTGTAGGCTGACCATTTCAATGAGACAGTTTTGAAGAAGAGCCAGCCCACCGTGCCCTGTGGCATGAGATCTCACCTCCTCCTTCAGAAGCTTCATGGTGAGGATTTTTGTTGGCTTCTCAAACGGCTGCAGGACTTCCACCAGGCACGTTTTCTGGCTGCGCGGTACGACGCTCAGTTTTCTGATGGTGCCGTCCTTGTCGGCAACAAAAATGACGTGTACCGCCACGTGGTGCTTGGTAGTGATGACGTCAGTGGCGATCGCAGTCAGGCTGCAAAGAGGGCGGTGGGGGGTGTGACCTGCTGACGGCTTGGGATGCAGAGCATTCTTGCCAGCGACGCAAGGGAATGCTGCACGGCAGCCAGTTTGTCATGCCAGTCGTCCAGTAACTAGCTTAGCTTAAAGCTACAAGCTTCTTAGCATGAACGGAATCGCAATGCTGGCTTTTTCGGTCTAGTTGGAGAGGTTCATGGATCGTGGACAAGATCGAGTCAGAATAGTGCGGCGTGGTACAAAGCAAATCGTGCATTTATCACCCATAATGATGCGAAATGCATGGCATCGCACCCTTGCCACATGGACAGTGATGGAAACTGACAGCTTTGTCGTGATGACGTCTTTGCGTATTTTTTCTCTGCGTAATGCCCCGACAGCAGTCTTCTAAAGGTGATTATCTCCCTGCAATTCGGCAAAGCGCCTTACGGCTCACACGAGCCCGGCTGCGGCCACCTTTGTGACGCATGTGCGGGCGTGCCGCATGCCACCTGTCCTCGGTGGCATGCGGCACGTCCTCCGCATGCACCTCAAAATGAGCAGGAGCCTCTCGACTTCCCGGAATGCCGGACTGACGGGACCCCACAACCACCGACCGCGTCAGCTCGCCGGAACGCCCTCTCTCCCGTCCAAGGTGACATAATCTGGGTAAAATATCGAACGAAGGGCCCGAGACGTCCGGCCCAGAGACGGGACAAAGGCGGTGTGGCCGGGTGACTCGGGCTTTGACCCGGACAGAGCGTCTGGCGCCCGCTTGCCGCCCCCTTTCCAGAGGCGACTCCTCGGCTTTGTTGCGGACGCACCAACGGCGGTGACCCGACCGCATCACAAGAGAACAACACGAAGCGGCCTTGGGCCACTCCGTTGTTCTGCCGGCGCAAGAAACCCGTGCACCGTAACGGGTGCCATTGTCGGCGTTCGGACGTGGGAGGCACATGGTCGTTTCGGAGATGATTGATGAGGGCGAGACGCCACTGGGGACCATGATCAATAGCGAGGCTTGCCGAGTGCAGCGGGCGAAACAAAGCCACGGGCGCCGGACGCCCCGCGTGAAAGTGAACAGGTGTGACGTCACTTGCCGGAATGATGCGGCATCTTGCGACGCACTCCACCTGGCATCACACAGCCCCCCCCCCCCCCTCCCCCTCCCATCTGGGTCGTGACCGGCCGATAACGCTATAACTCGCGGCGGCGCGGCCATCACCACCCGAACAACTGTGACGCGTGCACCGCTCGTGACCCGAACGCCACCTCACCTGGCGCCGTCGGCGAGGAGCAGCGGGTCGGTTTTGGTGGGCATGACGGCGTCGTGCGCCAGCGCGTACTGCGGGATGTCGGCGAGCCGGCGGTCACGGCCGGCCGTCTGGCCCGGGGTGCCGCACTGGAAGTGGCGCAGGTCGAGCGGCTGGCGCGGCCAGGCGCCGCCCGGCTCGCGCTGCCGCCGAAACGGGCCGTCGAACGCGTCACCGATCGCCGACAGGTTGAAGGCGCACACGGCCGAGCCAGCCAGACCGTTCCTGTGGGGGAAAGGAGCGTCAGATCGAGCGTTAATAAGTAAGAGGTGCGCATTCACCCTCCAAAATGCGCCTCATGCTGCACCCACCGAAATGCCCCTTTCCCACGCTCTGGGCAATCAAGCACCGTGGTCCACCGGACGGGTTAAAAATAGTTCGACTCAGCTCATGTACCATAGTGAAATATCCGGCGCACGTGAAGACGCTCTTCAATGGGCCGCCATTTGCCGCAGCGACGGTCATGCACGGTCGCGGGTGAAACTCGCCACGAGAACGTTGCGTGCAACTGCACGTGTACTCTATGATTTCGCCGCAAAATGCAAATGTGCAACAGTTTAATGTTTATTTTATCGTCAAATTAGAGGAACATTTCAGTTCTCGTGAACAGAACGCAGAAAGGCGTATTTCTTCAAGCAGGGCTGGTGCTCTCAGCCCAACTTGCACTAATCACGTCCATAAATCCGCCCATGGATATAGGCGGAACGACGGACGGCCATCTCGTCAAGAATGCTGCTGCGCGCCGCTGAATAAATCGGCAGGTAACGAATGACTGAACGGCACTCAGACACTGGGCCTGCCCGCACAACTGCCTCGAGAGCATCGCCGCAAAGCTGCGGGTTACTGACGGCTGTCGTTAAGCGCGGGCAGTGGGTGGTCGTACCGTCGCCGACCTCGGCACGCAGCGGGCAAACGCGTTTCACTAAATCCCGCCGGATAACATCGGTGGCAGGTACATGTGGTAAAATCCCTGGCAGAATCTGCAGTAGATAAGATCTGCGTCCACCAGCGCGGCCCACATGGTACTATGTGCAGAGACGCGTACCTCCAACGACCACGCGGTCTTAGATAAGGCGCTTGCCTGGGCTCCGATCACTGGAAATAAATCGGTGATCACACCGTTGCTCCTTACCCATAAATATAGAGCGATAGTTCGACCCTTGTATGGTGTACTACGCTTGGCCATCGATTTTCTAGGTCTGTAACCTGCTGCCAAACGATACGACACATTAACACGGAAAACTGTAGTGTTTGTACCTCGTCTCGCCGCCACGGTCCAACCCTCGAGCAGGCGCCACTGAATCCGAACATGAGCGGGCCAGAAGCGCGCCGACCGCACACCCGTTGCAGCGTGCTCCCGTGCTCATGCGCACTGTGCTCCCAGGTCACCGAGTGCACATGGACCCGGCGGAGGCTGGCTTGCGTGCCTGCTTGCCGTCAGCGGCCGACGTCGTCAGCGGCCCGGCAGGCAAGGCCGGGTGGGCCGGCGAAATTGGCGGCTCCTCTATCCACATCCGTGATGTCGACCTCCGAGAGTGCGGCGCTCAGAGTCGGTGACGAGGAAGGAGCAGGTGGCGGCGCCGAGGGTGAACGTCCGATCCCGTGGCGCGTTGGGAGTGCGGAAGTGAGCTAAGAAACTAATCACGTGAAAGAAAGCGGTGCATTTTTTACTCCCGGGTGCTTGAGACGCACGACTTAATCTTAAGCCCCTTGCGAAGTTTTTCCTCACAGCCGCTAATTAAATTTGATTGTCCACATATGGTAAGCATTTGGACACCGGTGACAGGAGATTAGATGGCCGATTCCGGACCTTGGGAAACGGATGTCATGCGGCCTGACAAGGAACCGGAGGTTTTAAGAGGGCGCGTGACTGAGCTACAAAATATGTGGACACATGCAACAATGCAAACAAACACAGTACATGACATGAAACAGAAACAGCTTGGCAGACTGAGTCGCAGCGACCGCAACAATAACCTACAAAAGTGGTATCGGCTCAGGCAGTTTGAGCTTGGCATCGCACCATGCCTTAATCCGGTGGAAGACGCCGCTGCGATCGCAGGCGCAAAACGCCGCCCGGTTTTTACGCCCGAATAACCACGGGCGAGGCCGCACGCCGACTCAGCGTTACTTCAGTCATTGAAAAAATGCACGTGAGGTGGATGGCCACGTCCGACTGGGTCAGGTAGTACAGCTACCTGCAGGGCTTTTGTCGTCGGACGTATGATCATACACCCGCACTATGCTGTTATTGTTATGATTGTTTTCCGCTCGTATTATGTCACGTTTCTAGGGTCGGAGGTAAATATTTCCCGCGTAATGGGCTTAGTTTTGTGGGGTTTACCATCGGGTGTCGTCCTTTACGAAGACGATTTAAACCCGGATTTTTTTCAGATACGCAACATGCGCCGCCCACTACCATATTTCATGAAACATGGGGATGGGCGATATATTGGCAATCGGTAAAAAATAACGCTGCTCATGCTTTTTAGTCAACCTAAATGGTATACCAGGTATCAACCTAAATGGTATCAACCTAAATGGTATCAACCTAAATGGTAATCATAGTTCGAATGATTTCGCCTACAACCAAAGGGCATTCGGCGCCTTTCTAACAGCCCTTCCAATTCAAATTCCAAGTTATCCAATTAGCGGCTTCGCTGCAATTCGTCACAGGAGAATCATGATTGCATCAGCATTGATACGCATTTTTATCCCGCATTTTCTCAGATGCCGTGCTGAAAAAGGCAACGTCATGTCCATGATTGCCGGATGCTAGAGATGGAGGACGGTCACGACAAAACAAATATGGTACTCTTTGAAGCATTCAGAAACAGCGGTAAGCCAATAATACCGAGTTACAGGATGGACATATCCTGCTTATAAACAGCAATTAAGTGAGAACACGGCAGTTGAGACAAGACAGACCAGCCTCCCTTCAACCTCTGAGCCGAAATATACAGGACCACACTCTACAGCGCGCTCCCAAGTCTGCTTGTGTCTCCGGCAAAGGTTGCTGATATTCCGATCGCAGGTGAAGGTCAGTAGACACAACGCCAACGACCCTCCCCCCACTCCACCGCCATGCTGTTGTAATCAAGCTGTTAACCGGGGCCATCGACCGTGGTGCCCCTGCACGTCCCGGACAGGGACGAGTGGCCGGCGACTGCAGCGGCGGAGCAGTAGCAGCTGCAGCGGCCACAGACGGGGAGCGGCGCCGGGGAACAGCGGGGAACAGCGGGGAACGGCGCGGCCGGACGGTACCGTGCGCCGCGTCACCAAGGTGTGGCAGCCGGGCCGAGGATGCTTGGCTAGCGGTGGGGTAATGTTCTGAGAAATGATGGAAAAATCACTGCGATTGGCAGCCGCGTGTTGTTTAACCGAGGCTAATACCGTGTCAACATGTTGAGCTTCCTTTCAGCGACTGTAAGCGCCTTAATCGTGGCGCTGCAAGGCGAGTTCGATGAAGTGCGCCTTCATTCTGGAGACTAAGGTTTTTCTCCTAAGGAAGACAGATGATCACAAGTCGGATGAGGTGTCGATGGGCCCCTCTGACGCCATCTGCGGGTGACGCGCACGTCGTCTCGTGGCACGGAGTGCCCGCCAGTCCCGCCGGTGGACCGGTGTACGCCGCGACCAGTCCATGCGGTTGGGGCCCGACGGCGGTCACTCGGGATCGCATATCAGTGATAGCCGGCGTGCCCGCGCTCCGACATCCGGACATGACGAGGCTCGGTGACGAGAGCCGTCGAGACTGGCCCGAGACAGTGGGACGCTGCTCTTCGACGGAGGAGCGGTCAGAGACGCGGGCAGCGCGCGGTCGGTGCCGCCATTTGCACGGCGGGTCGGCCCGCAATCAACGATCCCAGATAAGGGCGTTTACTCTGAGATTACTCCGCCGTGTCCCACGTATCTGCCAGAGAGCGACAGCCGATACGGCCAGGCGTACACAGATGAAGACAGACCCATCGTATTCGGCGCCAAAGCCGCATGCGTCGGCCAGGGCGCTGTAGATGGAGCGATACGTCAGTCGGTAATAAACAGGCCGTGGTCAGCTGGTACGGCCGGAGCGTCAGTCTCCCCGACGGCCGCCGCGGCGATAGGATAACTGGCAGGCGCTCACTTTCGCCCGGCTAATTCGCTGGAGGAGGTCAGGGCTCCGGCGGCCGGCGGCGCGGGCCGTGCCGGTCCGGCCGGCCGGCGCATCGGCCATGCCGAGCACGCGCCGACGATAGATAGTCCCATCTACTATCACACTGCGAGAGAACAAGGCGAACTGAGTGGTCGATAGAGGGCGCCCCGTCTGGAGTAACGGTGCCGGCTCGGCTGGAATGCCGCGCTGAATATGCACGGGTCCTCTGGACAGCCAGCTGTAACTGCTCTTCTTTGCAACGGTGTTTAAGCTTCGCTCCCATGCTGATTAAGAAGCGGAACGCCGAGCGATGTGCAGGAGTTCTGATAACAAACTAAAAAATGTGTTCACAAAGCGCCGCTCGTGACCTGCACCGCGATCCGTGCCGCTGCTCAGCGCCGCACACATCCACTCGATCAGCCCGGTGCGCTTTTCGGGGAGCGACTCGTTTTCGGGGCGCGACTCGTTTCGGCTTCAGATTGAAATGGCCGTCGGTGCCGGGGCGTCCCGCGGCGCCGCCCAAATGAAGCCGCACACGAGAGCCGCTCCGGCCGGCAGTATCGGCTGCCGATCTACACCGGCCGGTCACGTGATGTCCGTATAGAGGCGCGCCGGCCGACCTCCACGCGACGCTGCTGCAGCGGGGCCCGGCGGACCCGCCGGGCCCCAGCGGCGAGGCGGCCGGCCGGCTCGGGGGCCGACCTGCTGACCTCGCGCCGCCGGCGGCTGACGCGGCGAGAGCGGAGCGGCGCGGCTGGGCGGACGCCGCCGAGACGAGCTCGGCAGGTCAGCGGCCGCCGGGGCGCAGGGTCAGCCAGCCGAACAGCAGCTCTCGACCGTCGGAGGCGCTCTGACGCGGCGAAACACGACCCCGCCGAGCTGGCAACACAGACGGCCGATCTGGACCGCGCTGCAGGAATCTGTCGCATCAGCAGTCCTGCACCTGGCGTGGTGCCTGAGAGGAAGGACGCCTCCCGCGGGGTCAGAATCTGGCCGTGTCCAATGGACTCCGTCAGTGCACAAGTACGATTGTGCGATCTGCTGTAAGTTTTGGCAGGTCGTCAGGTTGCCTCTTCGACTCCTTTGGCAAGTCTTCAACAGGTGAAATGTGGAGTTCACGCTCAAAAAAAGAAAATTATTCCTTACCTGATGCGGGGATATGAATATTTCCATCCATTGCCTGTTCACTAACAAGCAGCCCATAAACTACCACCCATCGTAATTTCCACGAGGGTCAAGCAGCAAGATAATGATAAGAACAGTGGCATCACAATACGGCATTGCACAAATCCACATTTGATACCCTATTACCTCGCAAATTACTTGATTACTGTAAGCAAGAGCGAGTGGGAAAGCCAGCGGCCCGTCAAGATTACGACCTCAAAAATGCATCCCACCCTGGGGGGATTATAGTTCCAGACACGACACTCGTGAATTTGTGTGCCCATTGACCTACAAATTCCAACCTCATTAGTGTCAACAGAGATAAAAGAAGAAGCCTGATCTGAATCAACAATTTCCAAACTCTCTCCTTTATATCGTAGCTCAAGTATGGAGGGTTATGACATCATACCGGCAGACCGTAGGTCTCATTGGAGAGCCTGTCCACTACGTGACATGAACTGATAGTCATATTGCATAGCCGACATGATCGCCCAGCAACCGGACCATGAAACAACGGCACTCCAGGCTCAGGAGAATAAGAGGCATCAGTTCACGGGCGCGTTGGTAAAAAGGCACCTCCAGGAGGACGAGCTGATGCTGATGTACTGATCACAGCAACGTCGGCGTAGGCTGAGCGTGTAGCCTCTTTATACATAAATGTCGAAAGTCGCGAGCGAAGTGCGACCGAAAGAACCGAGCGGTGGTGCTCAGCAAGCTGAACTCCGACCGAGGAAAAACTGGTCAGGCGTTACCGCGCCACAATCGGGTCACACGTTGACACGATACCAGCGCTGCGTAAAAACGGGCAGCCGGCCGACCACACAGCTGCGCCGCGTCGCCGGTCACGTGACGTCGACCTCACGCGCCGCCAATCGCAGCGCGTGACGAGGCGCTGGGTACGCCACCGGTCCGGCGAGGCACGGGAGGTGGGCCTACAGGCGTCGGCGGGGCACTGACGCCCGCTGCCGCGTTGACAGCATGGCTGGAAGCGCCGCAGGACTTGCTGCCTCAGTCGCGCGACTGGTCAGGGCGCTCCAGCGACACTGCTCGGACATGCGGGGATGCTCGCTGCGACTGACGAAACTCACTCTGGGGTGGTGAAGGTGGCGTAGAGCACCTCCTCGCGGTCCAGGTAGTGGATGCTCTGCACCTGGTCCAGGTAGAACGGGTACTCGCCGGACACGGAGCAGTTGAGCCGCGCCTTTAGGAACGTGGTCCAGGTGCCCCGTCGGTTACCGCGGTCGTTCTTGCACACTCGAGCAATGCGAGAGTACATCCGCTGTGGAAAGCATCACGAAAGGTAAACAAAGTCCGCATATCATACGGCTGCGCACTGGCCCACGCCGGGTGTAGTGCAAACATCAACTCTCTGATAATTACTCGAAAATTACATCTGTATAAACGCAATGTATTGCAGACGAGCACGATGAACTCGAGTCACACATCACGTGGTTGTCTGGAAGATTCGACGTAACGGGTGTGGGCAAATGTTTCATGCGAAGTGTCGCTTCTGTTTGCAAGTCCTTGCACAGTGCGTTCGTTTCAAGCGGTAATTGGTTTAACTAATTTGCAATCGTTACTGACATCTACTCGAAGGTTACTACAGGAAGGGATAGCCAACAAGATGGCGTTAGCCACATCACTAGCACAAGAGAAGGTTGCAATACCTAAGCACGACCTGCACGAAGAAACCAGTGACTTGGTCAAAGCATAAGGTCGCAACCCATACAGTTTACGCATACGCCGTCCTTGTCCGTAATTCAACATCATAGCTCACAATGTGCACGGGATCCGAAATGTGCGAATATGCTTCAGCAGATTTAACAAAACCAGGCACCGCGTTCGGAGCCAATTCGGAAGTCTGCCACACAAGGGCGGTTTACTGCTCGCCCCTAGGTCCGTGCGCTGTAGGCACGGCCAAAAAATCCAGTACCGTTTGACGAACGGGTTATTGTTTTGCCGATCGCGCCAGCCCGTGGCACCACGTTACGACACGGATCAGGGTGCATTCCGTCACACACTAAGTCGCCGCTCGTCTTTTTACCTGTCGCGGGTGCCCATGGAAGCGGATGACGAGGACAGCCAACTACAGACTGAAACTGGTCCTGCAGCCGAGCACACGGACCGGCTCGACTGAACGTGCGTTTAACGCCGCCGCCGCCGCCTCCAGCAGCGGCGAGCGGCGGACGCGTGGAAGGCAGCGACTACATTGGGCTGGCGTCGAACGGCGCACGGTATGCAGAGATCAAATCTGGACAGCTGATGAGAGGTATCGTGCACTCCACCCCAATGCTCAGCACCAAGGCAAAGCACCTCGCCATGATCAGGTTCATAACTTGCATCAGATTTTGGCGCCAGGCGAAAATGCATTGCCTGAGCTGCCAGGTTGTGGCGTTGGCTTTGAGGTCAGTGGATGACTAACGGACGCGAGTTTTGATGTCGCCCAGCAAGTAACCATTTCTGAAGCCGCTCTACGACATGGGCCCCCTGGGGATGAAAAGCGGGAATCGACAGGAACACGTGCAAGACAACGTTTCATGATGGTTAACGATGATGTGTTAGTGAGCCTTTGTCGCAACTAGCTTGTGGCTTGGCTTGCGGCTTGTTAAGCGATTAGCGCCAAGGATCCGGGATAACATGGCTAGAAAAAGTCGTTTCAGAGCGCGGCGCCTGTCGCAACTCGCAATTTCTGCCCATGCATTGGCCTTTTAGTCCGACACTTGTTTTGAGTGCTACGCAATTTTTGCGCACGGCGCAATGAAACATGTGTCGTGAGGATATATGAACATTACAATTATGTAATGCTGGTAAAGACTACTTACCCAACGTCTCATTCAACTCGGCGGCGTCTAGTCAGTGATGTCACCCAGCGGTAGTCAGTGAAGTCACGACAAGCACACAACCTTCAAGCGGGCGTCTAAGCCGCGAACGTGAGCCGTCTTCATCCCTCTCACCTTGCCGCAGCTCATGTACTCGACGGCGTCCTCTCTGAAGACGAAGTAGACGAAGTCCCTGGTCTCGAACGAGCCGACGAACTGCGGCGTGCTGAGCAGCGTGCTGTCATACTTGCTGGTTCGCAAGCTGACGCCGCCGCCACCCTGTCGGTAGATGGCCGGGTCGAGGCCCGAGAAGTCTGTCGGCGTGGCGGCCACCACCTCGCCCTCCGCCGTTACCAGTGACGTCACGTTCATGTGCGGCGAGTACGGGCACACGGCGATGCCGCTCTGGTTGGAGAAGACGGTGCGCAGCGAGTCGAGCTGGCGCCACGAGCACTGCGGCTGGAAGGCGTTGGTGCCGCACGCCAGCAGCCGCTCCCCGCGGCCGTGCAGCACGCGCACGTAGTTGTGGCAGTCGGCCGCCGCCTGGCCCTTGAACTCGCACAGTTTCTGATCCTTCTCGGGCGGCGGCCAGTGGACCGACTCCAGTTCCTGCAGCCCCTTCACGCTCAGACGAAACAGGTGGTCCCTGCCGACGGAAGCGAGGTCATGACATGTCGGACATACGGGGGCCACGCACCGGACGGACGAGGGATCACGTGTCGGACGGACGAGGGGGTTACGTGTCGGACGGATGAGGGGTCACGTGTCGAAAAGACACGGGATGACGTGTCGGACGGACGCAGGGTCACCTGACGGACAAACACAAGGTAAGTTGTTGAACGTGAGACCACGTGTCGGACGGACGGAGGTTCAGTGTCCGATGGACCCAGGACGACGTGCAGGACAGGCGGAGACAAGGTCAGGTGTCGGACGGAGGCAGGGTCGCGTGTTGGACTGAAGTAGGATCATGCTACCAATGCCACCATTATATGCTTCGTTCAGCCTCTACATGATGTCTTTTCAGGCCAGGAATCAAGGTGTGTTCAGTACACTACATAACACTTCACTGAACGTGCGCATCACGCTACATTTTTAGGCTAAGGCGGTCGGGATACAGACGGATTTCGGGATACAGTCGGGATACAGACCCTTCCCCTCCCATTATGCTCCCGTAGTCGGACGAACGCAGGAGCAGTCGGAGGGCGGGCACAGCCGTGTTGCAAAAGTGGGAAATCACTACCGGATCAACGAACACGCATCGCATTTTACAAGGTGATCGATGCAACATTTCCTGAATCTATGGAGTGAAAGCAAGGACGCAGGCATGCATAAACAAAATCCTTACCGTGCCCCCACGATCATCTGATACTTTTGTATGTCGAACAATATTTCTGAGAATGTAGTGACATCTGGCGACGAAAATGTGTCCAGCGAAGGTTGCAGTTCTGGAAAAGACAGAGCAAATGTCAGCCAATAGTGTGTGTTCGACTGCTTCAAGACACGGTATGGACCTGCCGCGCCAGACAGCAGTTGATTGGAAACTTGTAAATGGCTACAACACATGTGGCAATTTATCAAGCAAGCGCAGGTGACGCTGAGGCCCAAAATCGGTAGGAATCTCGATGACGTGATTGGGGCGACAGCGACTAATCGCGTGCCGTAAAGTTTGCTGCGAAGCCCGTGTGAAACCCGAGCTTGTATCCGTGTTTGACAATCATACGTCCTGTCGTTGGAACACGCCGGCGATTACACGTGTAACCGAACACGGTTGTCTTCAGATGTTTGTGATAACGCTGCACCGTGTCTGGGGACTAAAAACGCCACCTGCTTCACTTAAAAAGACAAATCGCTCGAGCTGCTTTTTAACGTATCATGGCCAACAGCTGGCAAGGAAACGTTAAATTTTAAGAAGCTTTCACTTCTTGCTTAGCAATAGCTGGTCTGAGTCAAGCAAGCAAAACAATGTTCACCTGCACATATCATTACGTTAGCGTCACGTTAGCGTTATCATCACGTTATCACTACCTGCACATGTCACGTCAGCAGGGTTGCACCGACATGTATGACAGGTGACATATGGACATTTCTTATATCACGCCTCAAAGATATGTAAACCTGATTGTTTTTAGCGCCGCCGCAGATACGTTGTTTAATCCTCACGCACTAGAGAAACGTTCGTTCTCCTTACGGTTCCTAAAAAGTATTTAATGAAATTAAAAAACCCAGCTGTTCGACGGCAAAGACCTTCAGGATAACACCTGTCACGCTTGTGGTAGATTTGGCACCTCACCAATAAGTGCTCGATAGCAAAGTCAACGTTGAGCGCGACTGTCAAGCACACGTGTATCCGCGGAAAAAGAGCGTCAGTTAAAGTGCAAGTGGCCAGGAATTACAAGCGTAAAACGCTATCAACGAGTGTGTCATTGAGTAATTAGCTGACTATTTTCTCGCAGCCTCGCAACGCTGCTCCAGACAGCTGGCGCCCGGCTACGACGCGGTGGGAGCTACGTGACTGGCACGAATAACAAAACTACACCCAAATCGCGTGCCCCGTGGCCAGTTCCATGCATCGTTTGATGAAAAACGTGCTCTGCAAGGGTGCGCTACATTTTCAATTCACAGCTGTACATGAACATTCTCGGGAGCGAATAATAAACGAATAATAAAGTTAACTCGAAAGAAAACGCACCGGAATTCGACGTGATGTATCATGAGAGACATAATGCCCCGAAATTGATCGTGCAAGGCGTGGATGAACGGGAACGTCTGTGCCCGCCATAAACATGTCCACTCTGACACCTCGCGTGAGCCCCGGCACAAAAACGCCGTCCGAGTCGTTTCATCATCGGGTGTGAGGCGGCGTTGAGGTGTCTCAGCCAGTGAAGCGCACGTCATTGGAAGGCATCACCTGACATTGGCTCGGGTGTTTGATATGCTTGGGCGCCTGGCGTACGGATCGGGGGTGTTGTCAAGAAACGACAGTTATTTTCAGATGCGTGAGCCATGGAACGCTCAATCGCCAACAAAGGTCTTGCTTTACAACTTCGCTTCATCTTCCCAAAAAATGTTTCCAGATAATATACTTGAGAAGTTTCGTAAGCACTTAGCATAAATGGTATAGAACATAATTAAATGCCTTAAACTATTTTGAAACGCAGTCATGACAAATATACAACCGAATGGCGGCTTGTTGAAACAGATCAAATCATCCAAGTGCTCCATAAGATGTACATGGTATACCTAACAAATAACCACGATAATCTACTCCACCTAGGTGAAGGACAAGCAGACAGATATCATTTTTCGTGTTAATGAATTATATCCTGCGATCAGAATTAATACATGCCGTGATTCATGCAAAGAGGAAAAAACATTTCTATCAAGATAAGTTGCCGTGATCAAGGTTTCCTAGGAGAGTTCGTGTCAGGATGGGGTTTTATTGCAGTTACCGTGCTGATGACTCAACGCTCTGAGTCAGAAATATTACAATTAGAGCACAGTTCCTGGTTCCTTGATGAGCAGGGGCATAGACGGCGGAAGCGCGGGGGGAGTGGGGAGGGGGCGGCGAGAACGTCTGTTCTCATCTCTGGAAAAAAATGTTACATCAGCCCTATGGCGATACATGGAAAAGAATGTCCTAATAGTGCGCTGGCCTCCCCCTTCGTCTCAGAGGATCTGCCGGCACTGCGCATAGGGGTGTTTGCCGGTATTCTAAGTCCCATAACACCGGAACCTCAGGCAAGTTCACGCCATATATGGCGACAACTTGATTGGTTATGTAACCAACGTCACGCAATAGCGTGGGTAAGGTAACCAATGTCGCGCCAAATCGATACCAGGGCCCATGGAACACTCAAAACTACGTTATCTTTTCCTGACAAATAAATCCACCACACGCTGGTCGGGGACACGCGGACGCTTCATTTGCTCTCACAGGTAAACTTTTCACTTGTTACCCACTGGTAAATTCTTCATTAACCACTTCTTAGTAAGCTCTTTGCATTTACGATCGTCCGAGAGAAACAGTTTCGATTTGTCAGCAAGTCCAAACGGCTAACCCGGTACTGCGAAGCACTCACCACCCTTGAAGTGGTTACAAAACACCTACGTGCCTCTGACCCGCGTGTCAAGGGCTTAAACTCTAGAAATAAACAAAATAGTTTTATTAGAAGGATAAGCAGTTTAGAGACTCTCCATTATCAGTTCAGATCACAACGTCGTACGAGGTTGCCAGTAATCAGCAGCTTCAATCACGACAGTCTTGTCGGGCTGCTAGAGCCATATCAAACAGGCGTGGAAAATGTGGGCATATTGCATGCGAAACGGAACTTTTAGGTCTTCAATCTAGACAACTTACCGCAAAGTTCAGCCAGGCATTTACAACACTATCAACAACGCATGCCTGTGGCACCGCCACTGCCCAGAATATGTTTTTTCATTACTACGCACCTTGTCAGTGGTGCGGTTTCACTCCAAGTGCGCCAATGCACTATTTACACCACCAGAGTGATGTAAATAGTGGTAATTTTAGTGGACGAGCCAAAGTCAGCTTTACTGCTCAGTGATAAAGGGGTGATCTCAATCGGTAACGTGGGATGCACGTCATACTCGATCTTCCCTGATGAACAGTCTTCGCACTGACTTACCTGGAAAAAGTTGGTATTTCACTGGCTGTTAACGCTCCATCGCTAAGTACCGTGACACATTACGTTGAGTTGTACTGTAACACGTACCACGGGAGGCGCCCGGCCGCGGACTTTTGAAGCATACGTGAGGTAGACTGTGATCATTTTGCCGTCCTGAGCTAAAGTAGTGAGGTAAACCGTGATTGCATTGCGGTCCTGATCCAAAGACGCGGTAAACAGTCAATTTGCCGCGCAGTAGTCAGTTTGCCTGAGCGGATCGTTTTATCACATGTGCTAAGTAACTAGCTGGCTTCCACGAAGTCGCCATGCTCGCGGTGGAGGCTCCTGGGCCTCAGCTCTTAAGCTCGGTGTTTAAATTTGCGTGACAGCAGGAGAGTTTTCTTGGCGGCGGCAGCGGGTCCTCGGAGGACATGTGGAGGGAAATCACATTTGTACATCCTTTCTTGCATGCAACACCGTATGACTGGTTCCAGCCTTGCCCGGATATGGGGGTAAGGCTGTCCGCTGCCTGGCTCGACCTCCGCCGTCCCCGCCTCGCAGAGATGCAAGCGGAGTGAGCTTGCACCGCCACAGGACACGGCCGCCCGGCAAACTGCTGACTGTCGGGATTTCCAGGGCCGTGGGGCACCTTCGTGGGCAACGCTCGCTCGATGCAGCGACGTGGAAGGTTTTTGCTTATCAGCAGGATTCAGACTTGTTTCTAAGTCGAGGAGCCACGTAAACGGCTGCGGGGATAACGACTGCTGCTCAGCCCCACGTGTCACCTTCCCTGAAAGCCGGCGTAGACCGCAGACAAGGACAAACAGCTCATCCTGTGCAGAGCTGCGTTGCTGCCAGCGTCGTCGCCTAAGACTAGATAAGAGGTTTGGAGGTTTAGTGCCTTTGCATAGGCACAGCACTTCTGTTAAATTGGACCCCTTGTATTTGCCGTCGTAAATGCAATCTGCGCAGTTTTATTAGTGGAACTAGCGCGGTATAAATGGGAGGAGACCCCAGGGTGAGTTCACAAAGTTCGTACACAAATCATTGAACACTACCCAGGCTATCTGTGCCTGCGTGCTTCATGCATGTAAACAGACGTATCAGGCGTTTGAATGTTTCACATCCGTGCACTAAATCCGGACCAAAATTGCTTTGGAGCTTCTGGACAGGCACGTTGGTTTCTATTTTCCACATTTTTGGGATAAGAGCCTGTCTTGGGTCCCCAGACCAATATTGCCTGCCTTTCCGACGTTCCTCGTTCATGTTCACGGAATCTCGTACACTGCTTGGCCTTGGTCTTGATAAAGATCACTTGATTGTGGATCCCTGTTGGGAGCAGTAGATCACGAGCCCCGGCCTCCTAGCCACCTAATGTCCTGGTGCCGCCACAGGGCTCTATCGGGTTCAAGACGACACAAACGCATCTTTTTCAAGCCGCGTTTTTTTGCATTACGGAAAATCTAGCCCGCAATATGGGCTTCAAAACCACTGCCTATTTAGGCGATAGTGGTGGTTGCAGTGGGGAATGTGGGGTGAGGGATGGGGTCTGCAGTACGACGCGGGCGACGCGTGTAATCGCGTGCCTGATCGGGCCCGCGACCCGGTCTCGGTCCGGGCCCCTCACGCAACGGCGGCGCGCGGCCGTGCGCCGCTGCGCCAAGATAGCGAATTAAGGCCATCAGATAAGGCGCTAACTCGTCGTTCATCCTGTCGGGTTCACTCGGCTGAAGACGGACCTGCTCGCCTGTGCGTGGGCCTCTTGCGCGAACTGGTTGCGCATTAGTTCCCTGCCGGCCATATGAGCGCGTGCAGCAGCA